GAGAGCACTCTTCAACAAGTACCTCCGCAGAAGAAGTAGTCGGATTTCAGCGAGCCCTAAAGAGCAAAGAGAAAAAAGATGCCGCCTACCGGTGCACGCTGCGATCGTGCGCAACTCAAGCCATGTGGGAGCGTTAATGGGAGCTGAAGAGGGAAGCGAGGCGTATTTGCCGCCATAAGAAGAGAGATGCAGAAATAAATGAGCGCGAAGAGCTTGAAAGACTGGCCGACAGGAAAAACGCCCGAAGATTTGAACAGAGAGTTAAGCCACTTACGGAAGGTTTTAAGACCACGGCGAGCTCTTGTAAGAACAACAATGGCGGCCTAGTTACTGATGTCCAGAACGTACTTAAAATATTGAGGGAACACTGTTCCACCCCGCTTAAAAGGTATCAGCACTTGGGGGAGTTGGTAACGTGCATGCATCAACTCTTATGCAAAATATGGTCAGATGAACGCCTACCCGACGACTTGAATTTAAGTGTACTCTGCTCAATCGACAAGAAAGGCGACTCGCCATTCGCGCCAACTACCGCGGGATCAGCCTTCTAATATAGGTTACAAGGTCTTATCAAGTGTATTGTGGGAAAGACTGAAAAGCCCATCGTCAAGGAACTGATTGGACCTTATCAGTATGGCTTAAGACCTGGCAAATCCACCATAGCTCAGGCATTAACAATACGTCAAACCTTGAAAAAACTACCATCTATTTGTCGATTTCAAAGCCGCTTACGACCGCACGAAAAGAAGTTGCCTTTATACCGCGATGTCTGAATTTGATATCCATGCTAAACTAATACGGCTGTATTAAATGACTTTGAGCAATACCATCAGCTCGCTCAGAATTGGGAAATACCTCTCCGAGCCGTTTGCTACCAAACAGAGTTTTCAGACAGGGCGACTCCCTTACATGTGATTTATTTAACCCAGAGACCGTACCGGTTATGCATTTTATAATAAAAGTCAAAAAATTTTAGTTATTTTTTTACTTTTATCATTTTGGGCAATAATACCGATTATTTCTGCTTTTTATTTTTTAAGGCAAAAATAAAAGTTAAAATTTCCCTTTTATTTTTTTTGAACAGAAAATAATCGGTAATTTTTTACTTTTATTTTTTTCGGGCAAAAATAAGTCAAAGTTAAAAATCAAGTATTCCAGAGCTGTGTATATTCGAATGTGATAGTGTTGAAGCTCCTACGTGGATTTTAATAACCCCTATACCCAAATACCAGGGTTAGTTCAAATCTATATACATACATATGTATACATATAATACATGAAGGGAGTTTTTGTTAACGGCAAAATTAAAGGGCTTAGCCTCTAGATGTATATACCACAAGGAATGATTTTTTGAATAGGGTTGCCACCTTTTTTAAAATTATAAAATCTGCACCGGTCGTTGTATTAAAACAGAAGAGGTGAAAAATGAAAGGGCTAGACCTGCAGATGTGCAAGAAGGTCTCAGTTTTTTGAATAGGGTTGCCACATGCTTCTAAAACAGAAGATTTATACCGTTCGTTGTATTAAAACAGAAGAGGTGACAAATAGAAGGGCTGGGACTGTAGAGAAGGTTTCAGTTTTTTTAATAGGGTTGCCACCTGCTTCTAAAATCATAAGACTTACACCGTTCGCGCAATTTAAAAAAAAGGTGCCATGTAAACTGGCTTGATCTAAAGATTTGCAAGAAAGAACGTGTTATTTTTTTGAAAAGTATTGCCGCCCAATCAATTTTTATTTTTGGGAAGAGCATCAGATTTACACTGTTCTGTCGCGTTTCCAAATGAGATGTCAGATGAAAAATATTGACTTATAGACCTGTTTTGGTTTTTTAAAGCATTGCCGCCTAATTAAAAATGCATTGTTTAAATATGATAGTCAGTAAAATGTCACAATATGGGCATCAATCGAATCGAAAGAGGCTTGAGACTAAATTAATATGTTGGTGTTTTTAATAATATTATTTATATATATTATTTAATATATTTATTAAACAAATTTACAACTTTGAATGGTAAGTAATGTATTAAGGACATTCGATATTGCTATCTAACGAAAGCTGGTTAAGAGGGCTTTTGTGTAATTGTATGCGAATTTTTGATGGTTGTCATATAGTTTCTAATTTATTGATTTAAATATTCTAGTTAATTAAAATGTTACAAAGTGGGCTTCAAACGAAAAGATTTTAAACTAAATTAATATGATCGTATTTTTAATATACATATGTAGTTGCCACCTGCTTAAAAAATGGTGCACGTATTGAAATAATATTTAAAAATATCTAATACTGGTATCAAACGAAAGGAAGTTAGGTGAGCTTCTGCGATATTTATTTAGAAAGTTTATAACTATGAACGGTAAGTAATTTTTTAATGATATCCAATTATATAGCAAACGAAAGGGAAAAGAAGTTATGTTTTACAAAGATATATTTTTTCGAGGGTTGCCACTTAGTTAAAAATTTATTGAAAGTAAACGATAATTGATCATTAAATACTTATTTATATTACGATACATACAAGTTTTTGGAAAACTAAAAAATATATATAGGTTACATACATATAGAAGTAAGAATTGTTCGAAGGTTGCCACTTAGTTAAAAATTTACTGAACGTAAACGATAATTGGCAATTAAATACTTATTTATATTAACATACATACAAGTTTTAGGAAAAAATAAAAAATAAACCGACACTTGCGATAAGCTAATTAAGTCATAAACATTTTTAACAATTTTAGCTGAAACTTTGCAAATTTTTTGTAATTTTTGCACATGGTTTGAAACGTGGATTTATATGGTGTTGGTATATAATGAGCTAGACTTTTATGGAAAAATAATAAACATTAAATAAGCAAAAGAAAAATAACAAAAATTGTTAAAAATATTGATGACTTAATTAGTTGATCGCAAGTGTCGGTTTATTTTTTATTTGTTCCAAAACCTTGTATGTATGTTAATATAAATAAGTATTTAATTATCAATTATCGTTTACGTTCAGTAAATTTTTAAGTGGCAACCTTCGAACAATTCTTACTTCTATATGTATGTAACCTATATATATTTTTTATTTTTCCAAAAACTTGTATGTATCGTAATATAAATAAGTATTTAATGATCAATTATCGTTTACTTTCAATACATTTTTAACTAAGTGGCAACCCTCGAAAAAATATATCTTTGTAAAACATAACTTCTTTTCCTTTTCATTTGCTATATAATTGGATATCATTAATAAATTACTTACCGTTCATAGTTATAAACTTTCTAAATAAATATCGCAGAAGCTCACCTAACTTCCTTTCGTTTGATACCAATATTAGATATCTTTAAATATTATTTCAATACGTGCACCATTTTTTTAAGTAGGTGGCGACTACATATTAATATTAAAAACACAATCATATTAATTTAGTTTAAATTCTTTTCGTTTGAAGCCCACTTTGTAACTTTTTAATTAACTCGAATATTTCAATCAATAAATTAGAAACTATATGACAACC